ATATATATATATATATGTATCCATTATCAATATTATATTATATATGATATACTATTTATGATGGTTGGGTTTTTTGTTTGATAAATACTTAAAATTTTGCGCTTAAATTGATCTAGATTCAAAATTATCTTGATCACAAAGTTTATCCAAATGATGAAAATGAATATGTTCTATGATACAGTGTCATATATTGTAATCAGAGCAGATTTCCATTTATTTTGATAAGAGAATCGTATCCTTTTTGGTAATTCTCACATGAGCATGTCTCTCCACTCTATGACTTTGACTTTCTCACATGGGCATGTCTCTCCATTCTTTGAGTATGACTTTCTCACATGTGTATGTCTCTCCACTCTTTGAGTATGACTTTCTCACATGAGCATGTCTTCCACTCTTTTACTTTCTCACATGATGCATGTCTCTCGAGTCTATGACCTCTCACATGAGCATGTCTCTCGAGTCTATGACCTCTCACATGAGCATGTCTCTCCACTCTATGACCTCTCACATGAGCATGTCTCTCCACTCTATGACCGCTCACATGAGCATGTCTCTTCACTGTATGAATTTTCACATGAGCATGTCTCTCCACTCTATGACCTCTCACATGAGCATGTCTCTCCACTCTATGACCTCTCACATGAGCATGTATCTCCACTCTATGACCTCTCAAATGAGTAAGTCTCTCCACTCTATGACCTGTCACATTATATATTTGATCTAATCTCTGAAGGACATAAAAGATGATAATTAAATTAATCCAAATGACATTAGCCCTTAACAGGAATATAGAAATGTGTAACGTAGAGAAGTATACAACATATCGTCTTAGTAAATTGTATAGGATGTACGCCATACATGATCTAATGCATTCATCTTCAAACTTTTATGCCTATAAAACGTAAAAATGTACCGTACTATTTATAATTTATTCAAATGGTATGTGAATGTGTCTTGCCATTTTATAGGTTATACATCCTCCGAAATCGTACAATCTTCCAATGCTATACAATCACATACATCCTCAGATGCTAGAAATCTTCTAATTTTAAACAATCTTCCAATGTTATACAATCATCCAATTCTATGCAATGTTATTCAGTCTTCCAATTGCCATTGATTACATGCTATAAAAATATTCCAGTGTTATACAGTCTTCCAAGGCTATAAAATCTTCCAATGTTATAAAATCTTCCAGTGTTATAAAATCTTCCAATGTTATAAAATCTTCCAGTGTTATAAAATCTTCCAATGTTATAAAATCTTCCAGTGTTAAACCATCTTCCAATACTATCTGCGGCAATTCTTACATTTTGTCATTTAAAAAAAAAAAAAAAATTAAGTTCCAGAAAAGATCATTTATTTTTATTCAAAACAATTACCAAATGGCAAGTTGGATGACGTCATATCAATGATGTTACCAATTTCTGTATCTGTAACCAGTGTTAGCCTCAAAATCATCACTTGAAATTTAAAAGATTCGTGGAAGTCATCGATCCTTTCAGAGAAATAATGTGATTGAACTTCTATTTTTCTATGATTATCCCAGGGAAACTGACTCGATTTGGATCCCTTGATTTTGATCAATATGTTTTAGAATAACAATTATCGCGAATAGAACGCTCTGAAATCCTGAGCTAAGTTTTCGAAAAAAAAAAAAAAAAATATTAATAAAAAAACAAAACAATTCAAGCCTTGCAATGTTTCAGTTGTTGCCGTGTCTCCAAAATAAGCCATTTGGAGTTTGGTGGAATGACGAAAGTTTCCAAAAAAAAAAAAAAAAAATATTAATAAAAAAACAAAACAATTCAAGCCTTGCAATGTTTCAGTTGTTGCCGTGTCTCCAAAATAAGCCATTTGGAGTTTGGTGGATCGAACCCCCCCCCCTCCCCCCCCCCGACAGGGTGAGCCATACAACGTGGGAAGCCGTCAACGCGACAGGCAGACGACATGTGCGGGCAGACAGCAGGAGGGAGTCCTTTCTTCGGTGGGCCAGCCTCACACTTGGTTCGTCGCCCGACTGTTAGATGTTTACACTCTTGCCAGGGTCACACACCGTCAAAACCCACGCGTCCAATGACATCGCGCCCGGCCGCGTCAATCATCGGCCGCCGGACGAGTCGTGATGCGTGACGTCCGGGGAGGCGGGGCTTGTAAACCCCGAGCGACGATGCGGTTCGCGTGTCAAAGACATAAAAATATTTTCCTCACTTCGCCGCCGGACCTGATAAGCTGTGTGTTTTACAGGAAGGGAAAAGCTGTATTGTACACATTTTGTGATCATTTATACCGTCTCTGGACATTTAGCGCAAGACATTCATACATTCCTTCCAAAACTCTTATTCGCCGATACATCGTGTGTACGTGGTATCTTTATTCTTGAACACTTGTGGTGTCGAAGGTAAGAAAACAGTTTACAATTCGATCATGTGCGCGCCGTCCCAAGGCGTCATGTTGCCGTACGGGCTGAAGATCCCGTCACCATATTTCCCGTTCGGACCAAGTGGAAGTCTGTCGCAAGTCCATCTGTCGGCCTTGGACTTCCAGCGGTCCCAACTTAATGAGTACAACGTCCGAGTCCAGCTGGGACTCCGTAATTATCAAAACTCCATCGGACTGTCCCCGTTCCAGGCGTACATTAACGACCCCTACACCCAGGCTTATTTTTACAAACATGACCCCAGGGCGCGCTTTGTTCAAGAGGAGCCGAAACCCAGCCACAGCTACATCGGACTCATCGGCATGGCTATTCTTAACTCCAAGGAGAAAAAACTGGTCCTAAGTGATATTTATCAATGGATACTGGATAATTATCCATACTTCCGAACGCGGGGACCCGGCTGGCGCAACAGCATCCGACATAATTTATCTCTGAACGATTGCTTTATCAAAGCTGGTCGCAGTGCTAACGGGAAGGGCCATTACTGGGCTGTGCATCCGGCCAACGTCGAAGACTTTGAACGGGGCGATTTCCGCCGTCGTCGAGCGCAAAGAAAAGTCCGACGTCACATGGGGCTTTCCGTCCCCGACGACGACGACAGCCCGACACCGTCGCCGACGCAACCGTGGCCCCATCACGACTTGACGCCAGAGCATGACCGCGCGCACCTGGACGCCACATTGCCGATGAACGACCCGGGTATGAGACAGGCCGCCCCAGGTGAGGCAGACCATCTCATCATGCCCCACCACAGACCCACCTACGGGCCGATGCCCGGTTATCTGAGAAAACCCAAGAAGAGACTTTTCGACATGGCCAGTTTGTTGGCGCCCGACGAGGATGACGAGATCGACATGGGCAAAGATCTCCATTCACCGGGCAGTGGACCCCAGGGCCAGCTGATCCCTGGCTACCTCCACCCCATGACGCACCTCACTCCGCACGACCTAAAAGTAGAGAGGAGCTCCTTGAGCTCTCATTCATCCGACTTCAGCGGACCGACTCCTACGCAAGAACTCGCCGTGGACGTCGGCAGCTGCAAGGACGTCGCGTACGACAGCGATGACGACATTGACAATGATGAAATTCACGTGACGTCGGGAGAAAACTCGCCGTCGCGTGACGTGGATGACTGTGATATGGACCAAGACAATCTCGACAACTCTGATTATTCCATTCGCAAAAAGAAAGAGTTTCCTTCCCATGACCTCATGACCCCCAGAGGTTACGAGTCCACAAAAACATCTAGTCCATGTCACCCGGCCGCCGGGGCTAAACCAGACAACGCCCTGGATCTCACCTCTCAAATCCCGACATCTTCTAACACCGACAGAAAGGACGTTTGTTTAGCCAAATCCGAGGAGAGTCTCCATTTTCTGTCCCAAACATCTGCACATAATTCAGGCTTAAAAGATAAATGTAAGAAAAATGAGCTCTCTCAACGCGACGGTGAAGCAAAAGGAGGATCAGATCAAGAAGCTTCCACGACCGCTCATGGACACGCCACGGAACAGTCACGGCACGACGGAGACAAGATGGGCATCATGAGGCATTCATATAATATAAACGTTAAAAATACAAATGGCTCGGCGGAAGACGAGCAAGGGTTTCCCCCAACTCACACCGAGGCGAGTAGTCGCGATCAAGCGAGGCACACGGTAGAGACTGCGCATTTTTACCGTCCTGACATACACGACCTCAAACGGCAACAGAGCCTCCGAGGCTACGAGGCTAACTTTAATCTACAGGACGCTAATCACGTCCTGGATTCCGATCGAGGCCCCGTTGACGTCAGACGAGTAGCAGGAGATAGCACTAGTCCACCGTCTGACGTAATGCGCGTCTCAGCGGACACACTCCGATGGGCAGACCTGACCAAACCTGCCGGGTCCGGAGACAGGGTGAGCGCCTTTAGCTCACTGGGAGCACGGAATCACAACCTGTACTCACCTTTCCAAATGCAGATGCGGAACTTCTCCCTACCCCATAACAGGCTTCTGCAGTCAGCGGTCCCTATCAGGGGAGGGGTTCCCCAAACCTTGCTCCCCGGGGCGCCTGTTCCCCATTCCATGCCCTTAATGAAAGGAATGGAGCCATATACCAACAGCGGTGTTACCACCAGCAACCAACCAGTCCCCATCAGCAACCATAACTCTACCAGCAGGAGCGGCCCACGGGACTAGGACGTATATATTAGCTCTGGTAAGTAAAATCACAAAATCACTTTTGTTTTATTGTCTGTAATCGTTTCATTCTTTACCCCTTTACCTTGTAATTGTAGTCGCCCCCCCCCCCCCCCCCCCCGATTACACGAAATTAAACTGTTCATTGTCAACATATGGCATATGGAGATACGATTTGAAACTGTTCATTGTCAACATATGGCATATGCAGATAAGATTTGAAACTGTTCATTGTAAACATATAGACATAGCTTTGAAACGTTTCATTATAAGCATATATAGGCCTAGAGTTCAGCTTTGAAACGGTTAATTGTAAAATTATAGAAATTAGCTTGAAGAAACAAATGTACTCATTAGTTTGATGATTAAATAAAATCCATTGGTGCGGGTACTTTTAATAAAATTGTTGGGCCATAATTTTAGAACCTTTCCAGGTTTTAGTGTGTAAGAGAAATAAAATTTTAAAATATATAAGATATGATACCCAGTAATAATAAATATTATTTTTATTTTTTATCATTATTATTATTATTTTATAAACCTTACAGTATGTTCAATAATTAACTAATATAGAGTTTAAATTCGTTTAAAAAATTTAATAATAATAAAACATAAATTAAAAATCTGTTATTAATTTTTGACAACTTATAATAAAATTGTATTCGAATACAAATTAATTATCAATATAAACATTTGAACCACATTTAATTTTTAATTTTAAGGAATTTTTAATTTAACCACTTAACAAAACATGGAAAAACAATTTTTATTGACTAATATTGCAATAACAAATGAAAATGATTTTGCCAAACATATATTTAATATTAATATTCTTTTTTTTTAAGTTTCACTCTAAGCCTGAATTTATATTTTAAGTAATAATTGTCCTAAACGTTCTTGAACTACAAATAGCATATATCATTAATTTTAATATTTTTGTCTGATGAAATTCATAAATAATTTATAATAAACTATCACAAACTATTTCATCACTACTATCATCTAACAAATCTCTCTGTATAAAATCAAAACCCCACCAACTAAAAATTTGTTGATATTTAATTATTGAAAAGATCAAATTCTTATGGAAAATACTATCCCAAAATATTTATCATTTGAAAAAGTGTAACAGAAATGTTTTGAATAATTATGAACGGATCGATCTGTATAACGTATCAATCCATTGTACTTAAGTTATTAAATAATATGAATAACTCCACTCCTCAATGGATCGATGACGTAACAAGAAAATATTTAAATGAAAAGAAAATTAGCGGCGAAAGTTGGTTTGAGTAATCGATCTAAGTTTTAAAAGAAAGCATCGATTATTGATAGCAGCATACATATTGATGTCTTCTTTGTACGATCTCTAGTGCCGCCATCTTGCTCTCTCTCTCTCTGTGTGTCTCTTCTCACACCTCCCATCAATAGACACCCACATTCCACATCCGTCATTCATTATTCATCACCCCTATATGGAGTGAGATATGTAAATTATTCTCTCCTGAAACTGGAGTCTATTGTTGCACTCGAAACTATTGTCACTGTTGGCTGTTTACAAATATGTGTGCACCTGGTAACATAACGATATTTGTAACGATAACATGTTTTATGGGGGGGGGGTATGTTTGGTGGCGGTGGGGAGTGTGGTTTTAGGGGTGGAGGAGTGTGTTTGATGGGCGGGGGAGTGTGTTTGGTGGACGGGGGAGTGGGTATGTATGTTGTGGGATGGGGGAGAAAGTTTGGTAGGGTGGGAAGCATGTTTGGTGGAGGTGGGGGTATGCTTGGTGGAGGTNTGGTGGTGGGAGTATGCTTGGTGGTGGAGGTGGGAGTATGCTTGGTCGCGGTGGGAGTATGCTTGGTGGAGGTGGGAGTATGCTTGGTGGAGGTGGGAGTATGCTTGGTGGAGGAGGTGGGAGTATGCTTGGTGGCGGTGGGAATATGCTTGGTGGAGGTGGGAGCATGCTTGGTGGAGGTGGGAGTATGCTTGGTGGAGATGAGAGCATGTTTGGTGGAGGTGGGTAGTATGTTTGGTGGGGTGGGTAGAATGTTTGGTGGGGTGTATTATTTTAGTAGTGGTGGGAAGTATATTTGGTGGTGCTGTGGACCATGTTTGATGGTGCTGGGGACCATGTTAGGGGGTGCTGGGGACCATGTTTGATGGTGCTGGGGACCATGTTTGGTGATGCTGGGGACCATGTTTGGTGGTGCTGGGGACCATGGTTGGTGGTGCTGGGGACGATGTTTGGTGATGCTGGGGACCATGTTTGGTGGTGCTGGGGACCATGTTTGATGGTGCTGGGGACCATGTTTGATGGTGCTGGGGAACATGTTTGGTGGTGCTGGGGACCATGTTTGGTGGTGCTAAGGACCATATAAGTTATGTGCCACGGCAGAGCGAGTTCTCAACGATGGCAATGTTTATTATGAAAATGTCTCCCTTGAATGGCAATTAATTCTACATGATCGCAATATTCTCCCCACAAGTTCCCCGGCACCCCGGGCTCCTTAAGAAAATGAGTTGTTTCCCAAATGTGGGGCGTGTGTACCGATTTGATGCGCATCGCTGCACACTGAAGGAGCCCCGACTTCGCTGGAGGTACACCGTAGTCCATAGCCTAAAATATGTATGGCACGACCCCGGACTACCCGGATGATATTGTCGTTTGAAGAGATGGGCCCAGCGGGTTGGAACATCATTTCTGTCGACAGTGTTAGAACACATGTTGAGGTCAAAGGGGGACTGTAGTTTGGATGTTGAAATGAGTAGCTCAGAAAGAGTTGTTTTTTTATATATATAAAGTTACAAAGCTACATTTTCATCTTGACATTTCAATTATTAAAACTACTGATCAATAAACAAAATATGCCTCACAAATCTTCTTCAAAATCATTCAGAATATATAATTTGTTTTCATTCTATACTTTTTAAAAGGGGACTAAATTAAATATCTTTAAAATATCCATTCTTAGACACACGGCATGTGCAGAATTAAAGAGAATTATGTCAAGGGAGAAACCATAAAATATGTGCTATGGGCTATAGTTTTATCGAAGTGGTTATGCGCAGTCGGCAAGTCACGTGACGTCTATATTCTTTATGTGTTACAGTATCAATCAATAAGGGTGCTTTGATATCGGGGTGACTGTGTGGTCGAATGGTCTAAACTGACCAAACCTCAAGTTGGTGGTCCTGAGTTCAATTCCAGCCAACGGCAAGCCATGAATAGCAAGCCATGATTACGCATTGGTTGCTATGCTTTTTCTCGAGAAAGAAGCAACAACTGGGCTTATTGTTTTACTTTTTTTTTGGCTAAAAAATGTTAAAACATGAGAAGAATTATTAACTTGACCAATGTAATGTTAATAATGTT